ATAGTTTTTCAAGATGTCACCATTAGTAGAAACTGGGTAGAATACATGAGATTTATCTTTATTTTTTCCTACAGGGCATGGGAATCTACGATTATCTTAACATAGAATGTTTAATTTAAAAAATAGTCAAATATTCCAAAGAGAAGGATGGTGAAGTAAAATAACAAAAAACCAAAAAGAAGTTTGGTTGGTGGGATGAACAGAAAAGAAATAATAAAATGGTACCTGTAAATCCAATAATATCAATAATTACATGGGAAGTAATGGTCTAAAGGAGAAAAAACACAATCATAGGAATTGATCCATAAAAATAATTTATAACATCCATTCATAATAAAAAAAAACTTTCAGAAAATCAGGATTAGAAGGAAATATCCTCAACCTTTATCAGGTCATTATGAAAAAACCTACAAGTAAAATTAGGCCTAATGGTAAGAGAGTAAATGCTTTTGTCCTAAGATCAGGATCAAGGCAAGTATGTTGCCCTCCCTACCTGAGTCAACATTATACTGAAGATCCTAGCCAGCAAGTACAATAAAGTAAGAAAAAGAAGTAAAGGCATCCAGACTGGGAAAGGAAATAAGCTGTCCTTATTCATAACTACCTGATTGTTTATGTAGAAAATACCAAACCATCTATAAAAGAGCTACTAGCACTAATATGTGAGCTTATTAAAAGGTTCCAGGATACAAAGCCAATGTGGAAAGATCAATTACACTTCTATAAATTAGCAATGAGCAATAGGAAAATGAAATACAAAACAACTATGTACATACACACACCCCATTTACATTACCTTGAAAGAACATAAAACACAGGGGTAAATTAAACAAAATATGTGCAAGACCTATCCATTCAAAACTATCAAATATTACTGAAATAAAATTTAAAAGACTGAAATAGACAGATATACCATATTTTGCTTTAGAAGACTCAATATTGCACATCAATTATCCACAGATTCCATGCAATGTCAAAACCCCCTGCAGGCTTTTTTGCAAAAATTGACAAGCTGATTCTAAAATTTCTAGGAAAATACCAAAGACCTAGACTAGCTACAACATTACAAAAAGGAAGAACAAAGTAAGAGGACTCATACTACCTGATGTAAACACATAATATAAGGCTACAGCAATTAAGACATGTGGTACAGGTTGTGTATCATTTATCCAAAATGCTTGGAACCAGCAGTGTTTTGGGATTTCAGATATTTTTGGTTTCCAGAATGTTTACATTATATATTACTGGTTCAGCAGCCTAACCTGAAAACATAAAATCTGAAATGCTTCAATGAGCATTTCCTTTGGATGCCACGTCGGTGCTCAAGAAATTTTGGATTTTGGAGCATTTAGGATTTTGGATTTCTGGATTAGGGATACTCAACCTGTATTGGTGTACAGAGTGACACATATGTTCAAATACTTTTCAAAAAGGATGCCAAAGTAAGTTAATTAAGAAAGAACAGTCTGGAATAGACTGAATATTTGATAGTAACTTATCTTTCTTACTTAACCTCTCTTCTGCTCTGGTTAATCTGCTATTAAGTCTATATATGAAATTCTTCTTTTGTTGTTGCTTTTTAAATTTTGTGTTTCTTTTATATATATATTAAATTCTTAATTTTCAGTTTTCATTAGATTATTTTATATATCCCAGTTCCCCAGTGAAATTCTTACTATTAACATTTTTTTTTTGAGACAGAGTCTTGCTCTGTTGCCCAGGCTGGAGTGCTGGAGTGCTGGAGTGCAGCAGTGCGGTCTTGGCTTACTGCAACCTCTGCCTCCTGGGTTCAAGCAATTCTTGTGCCTCAGCCTCCCGAGTAGATAGGACTACAGGTGCGCACCACCATGCCCAGCTAATTTTTTAGTAAAGACGGGGTCTCACTATGTTGCCCTGGCTGGTCTCAATCTCCTGGGCTCAAGGGATCCTCCTGCCTCAGTCTCCCAAAGTGCTGGGATTATAGGTGTGAGGCACCACACCTGGCATCATTTTAAAGTATATGTCAAATAATAAATGGATCACTTGTTGATCTGAGAAAAAGAAATAATATTCTTTTCAAAAATATTACTGGAACAATTGGAAATGCATATGTAAAAATAATATAAAAATATGTTGACCTTCACCTCATACCAGATACAAAAATTAAGTCATTAACAGTCATAGACTTAAATATAAGAACTAAAATTATGAATCTCCTAGAAGAAAACATACAGAAAAAATCTCTGTTACCCTGGGTTAGTGAGAGATTTTCTAAAGAGGACACAAAAAGCATGAACCGTAAAAGAAAAATTTAATAAATTGGACTTTATAAAAACAGAAACATTTGTTTTTCAAAAGATACTGTTATGAACAATCAAGCCACAGCCTAGGAGTAAATACTTGCAAAACACATAGCTGGTCAGGACTTATATCCACAATATATAAAGAACTCTCACAATTTAATAACAAACAATGGCAAAAGATTACAATAGACACTTCACCACAGAACATATACAGATGGCAAATAAGCACATGAAAACATGCTCAACATCACTGATCATTACAGAAATGTAAATTTAAATCACAATGAGATCCCCCTATATACCTACTAGAAAGGTGTGTTGTTGGTGGGAAAACAAAATAGTACAGCCACACTAGAAAACAGTTTGACAATATCTTATTATTATTTTTTGAGAGACAGAGTCTCACTGTGTCACCCAGGCTGGAGTAGAGTGGCATGATCTCGGCTCACCGCAACCTCCACCTCCTGGGTTCAAGCAATTCTCCTGCCTCAGCTTCCCAAGTAGCTGGGATTACAGGCATGTGCCACCACACCCAGCTAATTTCTGCATTTTTAGTAGAGACGGAGTTTCACTATATGTTGGCCAGGCTGGTCTCAAATTCCTGACCTTAAGTGACCCACTCGCCTTGGCCTCCCAAAGTGCTGGGATTACAGGCGTGAGGCACCACACCCGGCCCAATGTCTTATAAAGTTAAACATATGCTTACCATATGGCCAAGCAATCTCACTCCAGATATTTACCCAAGAGATATGAAAACACAGATCCACAGAAATGCCTGTACAAGAATGTTTGCCAGCTTCATTCATAATAACCAAAAAAAACCCGGGACAATTCAAATGTGCATTAACTGGTCCATCGACAGACAAACTGGAACACTACTCAGCTATCAAAAGGAACAAACTGATACATGCCACAACATGGATGAACCTAAAATGCATTAAGGTAAGTGAAAGAAGCCAGCCACATGACATTGTAGAAAGAACCAAACTAGAAGGAAAAGAGGTCAAGCCTGGGATGAGGAGAGAGACTGAATTATAAAAGGAAACATGGAGTTTTTTGTGGGGGATGAAAATATCCAACACTTTTATTGTAGTAGTAGTAATTACACAGTTACATATTTGTCAAAACTATACAACTGTACACCTAAGAAAGATAAATTTCATGGTATGTACATTATACCTTAATCAATTTCATTTGAAAAAATAAAAGGAATGCAGTCACATCAACATAAATATATAATGATCACATATAAAAACACATATAGAAAATTACGTTCAAACGTTAACATGTATGGCCAAAGATCATATGGTGCCATAAGGGCATTCTGTTTTATTAAAATACTTCATGAGTACTAATGATAAAGTACTAACAAATATTGAACTCTAATTAATGATATGCCTGTGGAGGTACTTAGGGGTTAAGGGTACTGATCTCTGTAACTTCCTTTGAAATGCGCTATAAAAAAAATAAATCGAATTTATGGAAATTGGAGGAACTGGCAGATGGACAGGGGATAAATATAGCAAAATGTTTATAGTTATTATAAATCTAGGTGGAGGTATTATATGGGTGTTCAATCTACAATTCTTTTACTTGTTTTATATAAAAATTTTCATAATAAAATGTTGGGGGAAGCTAGATAAAAAACAGCAAAGTAAACTGAAAGTAAGTAGGAAAAAGAAAATAAAAGTAAAAGAAATCAATAAAACAGAAAAATGGTAGAGAAAATTAACAAAGCTAAAACTTCTATGAAAAGATCAACAAACTTGAAATAAATTTCAGTTTGTACTACTACATGAGACTGGACAGTTTTCATTACTGTAATGAGGCTACTCTTGAAAGGAACAGTTCCCAGAAGATTTGTATTATCTCAGAATGACCAGTGAACTTATGGGACCAGCCAGAGGTTTCATCCAGGAGACAGAGGGAAAAATATAGTTCCTGAAATAGATTCAAATATGGAGAAACAGGGAAGAAATTCAAGTTGCTTTCTGCTGCATTCTGCTTCCAACCCTGGGAGTTTGGAGAGCTGTCTAGGAGTGAGTCCATGTGCTCCTGTCTTTCCATCCCATCCTGCTCGCATGCTCATTGCTGTCTCCTATTTCCTTGTAATTCCTCTCAGCAGGTATTTCAAGTAGTGGATCTTAACCAAAGATGGGCATCAGAACCATCTGGAGTGTCACTCAAAATGCACATAACCAGGCCTACCCTAGGCTTTCTGAAACAATTTCTACAGTGGGGCCTACTCATGAGTATTCTGATAGATCCACAGGTAACTATGTAATACATCTCTGGTTAACAACCACTACATTAAATTAAAGAAAACGTTTTTTATGGATAATAACAATAAAAACAGTGATAACATTTGTTGAGTGTTCCCTTTATGCCAGGCACCCTTTTAGGTGCTTTACATGGATCAACTCATTAATTTCTGAAAGTCATTCAGTTCTATCATTAGCCCCACAACAGGTAGAGAGGCCAACCAATGTGTACACAGTGATAGCTAGTGAGGAAAGTGGCCAGAAGTCCAGTCCAGGCTATGTGGCTCCACAGTCCATGCTCTTAGCCACTTGTATGTGGATGAATAACAAAGCTCCTTCCTCTGCCCAGGTCCAAATCAATCAGTGCAATATTTATTGAATGTCTTCCACCAGTCCCACACTGGAACAAGTCAGAACAAGATGTAGGCTCTTATGTCTAGGGGTTGTGTTTGAGCTAAAGAAATGAGCCACTGGCACTTAGCTATATTTTTTTTAAAGTTACCATATGAAATGCATAGCTATATTATTTAAAGTTACAAATGTAACCAATAAAGGAACTAAAAATAAGCATATAACAAACTTGTGAAGAGCTGGGGAGTGGAAGGCCAAAGTGTGAGGGAAATCCTTACTTTTCATAGAGGGAAGATAAAACTGAAAACCCATAAAATGCAGATATAAAGGTATTCCCTAAACCTATGGAGGTGCTCACCAGAACCAAAAAGAGAAATCTTTAGAAGAAGCTGCCCTTGGGGGGTGTGATTGGGAATGCACCTAAGATTACTTTTTAGCCTATACTGTTCTGCACTTAGACTGAATATATAAATGTCTGTATTTTAATATAATAGTTTTTCTTATGAGGGAATTGGGACTCAGGAGGGTAGACTGTGCCTGAATTTGCTTTTCCTCCCTTCTAGGACAGCACTGAAATGAGAACAAGACATACAGTCATTACAATTCCAGGCATCACTGGAAGAAACCAAGCATACCATCAGCACACCAGAAATCCTGATGAATCTCAAAGCAGCAGATATGGAATTACACTGAGCAACAAAGAGGTTATCATCACCCAAAACATTCCTGGAGGAAGCTACAGAATGGTGGGAGCCACAAATGCCAGCACAGGGAGGATCTCAGAGAATAGGTGTGTGTGCCGAGGAGTGGGTTCTGGAGGAAGCCATCTGAGGAGTCTTTGGGACCAGCACCTGACTACAGCTGATGCTCTGAAATTAATCTCTAATGAGCAGTGATTCTCAAGCTTTACTGTGTCTATGGGGTCCCTGGGGAGCTTGTTGAAATGCACATTCTCCTTCAGAAAATCTAGAGTGGGGCCTCAGATTCTGATTTTCTACTTAGTGCCCCAACAATGCCCAGGCTGCTGGTTCATGGATCACCCTCTGAAGAGTAACAGCATTCTAAACAGGCTTCTTTGCCATGGGCCAGTGAAGGGGGTACTATGAAGGGGAGAGAAAGAGCAGACCAGTGTATCAGAAGAGTTTCTGGATCCTTGTAGGCAGCCCACAGGAAAAATAGACAAGGAAAAAGCAGCTCTATGCAGGACTAAAATATGGTTCACTGAAGTATTCCACCTTGGGAGTAATGTCCTCTCGAGTGTGTTTATTTTTTGAATAAGTAAAGAGATTATAACAAAAACAAGAGTTGAGTGGGAAGGATGTATTGAAAAATGGAGGAATCTGGTAACAAGTAGTATGAAGTCAGATTTGTAACAGTCTGAGAAGAAATAAGTAGAGAAAACAGAAAATGGTGTGAGGTTTACAGTGTTAACCACAAAGTGACAGCAGGCAAGAACGTGGTAGGTACCTGGTTGGGAAAAGGTCACTGGCAAAGCTTTGGTGTCCATAGTGACTCAAAAAAAAAACAGGTATGATAATCTACCTTAGGCCAAAAAACAAAAACAAAAACAAAAAACAAAAAACAAACAAACAAAAAAACAGTCCAAATTTCAGCCTGAAAGGGCCCACAGTATGCCCAATAAAGAGGAAATGCTGACATCTATTAATACATCTACCATGGTGAAAATACAAAAGGCCAAGAAGGTGGGAGAGTAAGTCTTAAAAGCTTCCAGAAAGGTGGTGGGAGAGGAATGAGAAGAGGCTTGGCACTTCTCACTAACAAGCCAGGAGGCTGGAAGGTAGAAATGGGATCTCAGAACAAGAGTGGCCACAATTTATGGGAACGCCAAGCAAAGAACGCAGAGACTGTAACTGGCGGCCAGGCAGAGGCCTCATTTGGACATGACAACAGTTCCGCTCATCAGAGGCTAGGCATGTCCACAAGTCCGGGGCTCTCAGAAGAGCTCCTGAGCTCATCCCAGAGGCCAAGCTGTCACCAACCAACCTGGTCTCCTTTCCCCGGCCTGACTCACCTGGCCTGTCCTCACCTGCACAGGTCCGTACCGGGGTCCCTCCATCTGCCATCCAGGACTCTTCTCCTGGTCCCAACCTGAAGATCACATCTGGCTTCGCAACTAGATACCCTGTTCAGGGGACATGACATAGGACTTCGTTATTAACGCTGAGGAATTCCAGAACCTAGGCCCACCCCTGCAGGCTGAAGGTGGCACGGCCTCGGGGATGGCCCCAAGCACACAGCTATCTGCCCCTCAGTACAGAACATTCACATAGCAAGCAAGGGCACCAATATGCTCTCCAGAGTCCAACGGGGACTACGAATACTGCACAGTGGGTTGTAACCCAAACTCACTGAGGGTGGTAACCCACACTCATTGTTCCCAGGCCCCGGAGCTTGGAGCAGCTGAGAAAGAAACACAGTACTGGGGGCATTCTGCATCACCCCGTGGCGCGGTCCCTCACCCACGGACACCAGGTGGCTGTAGTTCTCAAGCATGACATCCCTGTAGAGGTTCTTCTGGGCAGAGTCCAGTTGCTGCCACTCCTCCAGGGTGAAGTCCACAAACACGTCCTTGAAGGTCAATGATTCCTGTAATGGCACATTCCTCTTTAGCATGCCAGGACCAGCCTGGGGCGCCGGGGCATGGCACCTCACGCACATGGAGGGCTTACTCTGTGCCCTCTAGGAGAAACTTGACAGATGAAGAGTGTGAGGCGCACAGAGCCTAAGTAACTAGCCCAGGTCGCACAGCCAGGAATGAGGGAGTCGAATCCATGCGGTCTGGCTCCCGCATCCACACTGGCCTTTGCTTTTTTTTTTTTTTTTTTTGAGACTGAGTCTTGCTCTGTCACCCAGGCTGGAGTGCAGTGGCGTAATCTCGGCTCACTGCAACCTCTGCCTCCTGGGTTCAAGCAATTCTCCTGCTTCAGCCTCCAGAGTTGCTGGGACTACAGGAGCCCACCACCATGCCCAGCTAATTTTTGTATTTTTAGTACAGACGGGGTTTCACCATGTTGGCCAGGCTGGTCTCGAACCCCTGGCCTTGTGATCTGCCCACCTTCGCCTCCCAAAGGGCTGGGATTACAGGCGTGAGCGATCGTGCCCGGCCTGGCCTTTCTTATATAATTGTTCTTATGCCAGTCACTAGTCAGTTTGGCATAGTATATTACATAGAGTATCTATATGACTAAAATCATTTTGAACTTTATAGGAGAAACAGACAGGGTATGAGAAATATCTCACCCTGGAAATTCATTCATTCAACACATGTTTACTGAATAGAGGCCAGACTGGTAAGTCCTGTGAAGTAAAGACTGATACAAAACCACACCTCTTGAACTCAAGGAGCTTCAGTTTAGTGGAGGGAGAAAAGCGGCACTTACACACTCATAGATGAAACCGAGGCAGCGAGGAAGCCTGCCTCACAGGGACAGTGACAGATGTAGGACAGGGTCCAGGTGGTCCACAAAGGAGGAAGTCAGTCCTGCCTGGGGCTGACAGAGCAGGCTTTGCAGGGGACACAGAGCTACAACGAACAGTTCTAAACATAGCTAATCAATCATGACAAACCGTTCTAACCTTCGCTCATCAATCATGAAACAAAAACAGGAAGCCAGAGGTCTGTGGCCCGGGCAGCTGACTGAGGCAAAAGGGGAAAGGTCTGTGCTTGGCCTTGTCACCACCAAACAAGAACTCACTTCTACGAGGGCCCCAATTCCTCGCAAAGACTAATAACCCACCTGTTTCTGCTCCAGATCCCATCCTGTCACACCCACACTTGGTGGCCTTCAATTCAAGCCACTCGTTGTACCCGTAAGGCCCAAATCAGCCACAGTGGCACTAGTTTACCCAGCTGTGCAGGAGAGGGGACAGGAAAGCCAGCCTGCCAGAGGGCGGTGACAGGCAGGTTTCTCCAGCAGGAGGGCTTCTCAGAGCAATCCAGGAGCTGTTAGCCCAACCTGCCCCTCCCTCGTGAGAGCTCCACTGCCAGGGAACAAAACCACACTGCTGAGTGCTAGGATGAAACAAATGTTGCTTGGAAGCTCTAACCTGTTCCATAGACCAATATCTCTTGTAATGGTCCCAGTGGCATGGCTTCCAGGGTCCCAGCAAAAGATGTGCCCAGTTACATATCACTGAGTGACAATGTGCCCAGAAAACCCCAATCCATGGCTTCCTACCAGCCAGTCAGAGTTTACTCAGTCCTCCAGTCCAGATGCAGTTTGTTTACCAATCCAGAGTCATTTTTATCTGGAGTAATGTCACCTGGTTTGATATTGTGAAATATATATTTGGTTTTTGTCCTGTCTCCTGGCAAAAGCTCCTGCAACCCTTGGAATAGACTCTGAAGTGATCCAAGTCTCTTTTATATGCTAATGAGATGACTGGTGGCTGGCTGCCCCTAGGTAGCTTCCAGATGGGAGCTGGTCACCAGAAAACCAGACAGGATTAGAGGGTTGAGAATTTCATCTCCATCCTCAAAACTCCTGGGAGGGGAGAGAAGATGAAGGCTGAGTTGACTACCAAGGGCCAATGATGATCATGCCTCTGTGATGAAGCCTCCATAAAAACCCCACTGTGGCTGGGTGTGGTGGCTGGCTCCTGTGATCCCAGCACTATGGGTGGCTGAGGAGGGAGGATCACTTGAGGTCAGGAGGTTGGGCCTGCGGTGAGCCAAGATTGCACCACTGTTCTCCAGCCTGGGGGACAGAGCAAGACCTTGTTTCTCAAAAACAACAATAACAACAACCAAAGGACTGGGTGGGTTCAGACAGCTTCCACACAGCTGAACACTTGGTGGTGCCCGGATGGTAGTGAGTACAGAGAGGGCATGAAAGGTCCGTGGACCTTCCCACATCCCTTGCCCTATGCATCTCTTCCATCTGGCGGTTCATCTGTATCCTCTGTAATATCCCCCCACTTTTTTTTTTTTTGAGATGGAGTTTCGCTCTTGTTGCCCAGGCTGGAGTGCAATGACGCGATCTTGGCTCACTGCAACCTCTGCCTCCTGGGTTCAAGTGATTCTCCTGCCTCAGCCTCCTGAGTAGCTGGGATTACAGGTATGTGCCACCACACCCGGCTAATTTTGTATTTGTAGTAGAGATGGGGTTTCTCCATGTTGGTCAGGCTGGTCTCAAACTCCCGACCTCAGGTGATCAGCCCGCCTTGGCCTCCCAAAGTGCTGGGATTACAGGCATGAGCCACCGCGCTTGGCCTGTAATATCCTTTATAACAAATAGGGGAAACTCAGGGAAACTGAAACTCACTCTAGCAAATTAATCAATCTTCAGGAGGGGTTCATGGGAACCCCCAATTTGTGGCCCATCAGTCAGATGTATAGGTGACACCCTACTTGTGACTGACATCTCAAGCTGGGGCAGTCTTGTGGGACTAAGCTCTCAACCTGTGGGAGCTGACGCTAACTCCAGGTAGACGGTGTCAGAATGGAATTGACTTAAGAGCACACCCAGCTGGTGTCCAGAGAGAACGGCTTGGTATGTGGGGGAACAGCCTGGGGCCTGGGATTACATCTGGTGTCGGAAGTGTTGTGTCAAGTGAGAGTAGACAGTAGGAAAAACTTGGGTTTCCTTCCTTCCTTATCTCTCAGACCCAGTAAAACAGCCGTCATTCCATTGTCAGGCTTCCAGTAACACAGAGCTAAACATGACAATGATAATGACAGTTAATAACCATTAACAGATCCTAGAAGTACAGTGTCAGAGGTTACTTCATAATAAAAGTATCTTAAATCTCTGCAGAAAAGATGTCATTAGAAAAATCTGGCTAGGCATTTATGGAGGGAAGAAACTCCATAAAAGTAAATTACTCATCTCACTCTGAGCCCCCGAGTAAATTACAGATGGATTAGAGATTTAAATGTATACAAGATAACCATAAAAGTGATAGAGAAGTTAAAAGTTTTGATAGTTTTGTGGTGGCTGATAGCCTTTCTAAGCAATCCCCAATTCAGAAAATACATAGCTACAGAGTGATAAACTTGACTACCTAGACATTAGAAATTTCTTTCTTTTCTTTTCTTTTTCTTTTTTTTTTTTTTGACAGAGTCTCGCTCTGTTGTCTGTTGCCAAGGCTGGAGTGCTGTGGCACTATCTTGGCTCACTGTAACCTCTGCCCCCCAGGTTCAAGCAATTCTCCTGCTTCAGCCTCCCGAGTAGCTGGGATTACAGACATGCACCACCATGCCCAGCTACTTTTTTGTATGTTTAGTAGAGACAGGGTTTCACCATGTTGGCCCGGCTGGTCTCGAACTCCTGACCTCAGGTGATCCACCCGCCTTGGCCTCCCAAAATGCTGGGATTACAGATGTGAGTCACCTTGCCTGGCTGCTCCTACTATGCTTTTCTGGACTTTGATTTTTTTCACTTAGACAAAAGTATCCCAGACATTCTTACATATCAGTCAATTTTTATCATGACAGTTCCAGAGTACAGATGTGGCAATTTAACTACTCTCTAGTCCTCCTCGTCCACGTGAAGTTTGTTTACCAACCAGGGGTCATTTTTATCATAAGCAATGCCACCTGGTAGTATAGCTGTCATTCTACCATTATTGGATTCTCAGGAACATGGGACGCTTAGGGCTTTCTCCTTCTACTTTTTGCTGGTATGAATAGAACTGCCTTGGAAATCTTTGTGGACATATAAATATTTCACTAGGATGGAGTCCTATCAATGCAACTGCTGATTAAAATAAGAAAAAGATCTTTAATAAGTACAGCCAAATTACCTGTCACCCAGCCAGTACTCTCACCAACAGTGGCTCTTACCTATCTGTTCAAAGTTTACCACTCTTACAGATAAATGACAGCATATATGTGAGTTTTAGTGAGGATTATAATCTTTTTGTATGTTTCTAGGCCACTAATATTTCTGTTGCTATGAGTCTTCATTCTGTTGGGTTGTCTTGTCTTATTGATATATTAAAGCTCTAGGGTAAAATTCTAGAAAGGGCATTACTGTGTTAAGGGTATTTGCAATGTAAATGTTGATATATATAAATCAACTGTTCCACCACAAAATGCCATATACAGTTTATAACTTCTTTGGTGTTTTTTCTACATACTTGACTGTACTAACTGTTATCAACCTTTTTAATGTTTAAGAATATGAAGTACGATACATGGTATACTATTCTACATACAATTCATAATCTTTCAGCTATATATTAGGTGTGATCTTCAATGATTTGTTAGAATTTTAGTGTATAAAAGAAGGTAGCTCATTGTTATGTATACTTCAAATATTTTTCTCACTTTGATATGGATGTTGATAATTTTTAAGATTTTCATTGTGCTTAGACATTTCTAATGTCAGGGCCAGGTGCGGTGGCTCATGCCTGTAATCCCAGCATTTTGAAAGGCCAAGGCAGGTGGATCACTTGAGGTCAGGAGTTCGACACCAGACTGGTCAACATGGTGAAACGTTGTCTTTACTAAAAATACAAAAATTAGCTGGGCATGGTGGCATATGCCTGTAATCCCAGCTACTCGGGAGGCTGAGCAGGAGAATCGCTTGCACCTGGGAGGTGGAGGTTGCGGTGAGCCGATTGTGCCACTGCACTCCAGCCTG